TTCCTAGAAGTATCAGTTAAGTTCTATTGGGATGTGATTTGTTCAGGTCTTCCGATTTCGTACTTTTCCTTTATTATTCCATATTTTTTTATATTTTGAACGACATATTACTGATTTTTCGAAACTCAATGTTTTGGTTTTGAAAAAGACTTATGGCAGTTTCCATTTAAATTTGATATGCAATCAAAAACAGAAGAAAATGGGAAAAAATTCGCTAAAAATTGTTTTGTTTTCATTTCAAAAAATATGTCTCACTTTCACTTTTTTTGAAATTGCATGAAAAATTGAAAATTTTTATAATTTAAACTTTGTAATTATTGTATACTTACCAACTTACCTTTTATTCCACCTGAAAATACGATTTTTACAATAATTACAAAGTGAAATCAAAAAATCTCAATATCACCTATTTTGGAGAAAAACATAGCAATTGACGAGTGAAAGACATGTTTCTGCAAGAATTCAGCGATTTTTTAGTCTGCCATAACTCTTTTTCACAAAAAACATCGAAGGAATAATCGAAAAACCAGAAATGTAGGCTCGAATTGACGAAAAATTGACAAAGTTGCCGGTGTGGATTTACGGTAAACAATGGGCGCATCCGGGATTTCGGAGTGTTGTAGTCTGCCTACCGTATCAGACCCATATCGCACACATCGCCCACCCACCCAGCATCCATCTAGGATACGCGCGCATTCGGAACACTCGATTCAGCCTCCCCGCATCGCACACATATGAGATTCATCGCAGCTCGTTGTTCGCGATATGTGTCGAACGGACTTCTAGAGGATCGCATATGGATCGGGTCATTTATGCGCATCATCGCCCAGGACCTGTGTCCAGATCGGTAGCCCAGCGCGCTGCCAATACGCCATTAACGCACACAATGAGGCGCGACTTCGTAGACCTATAAGAAGGAGCGACAAGGCACTCACACAACGGCAGCCTTATGTACGCCCTCCTCGCTCAATGCGACCTGTGCTTCCGTGGCGCAATAGGCAGCGCGTTCGGCTGTTAACCGAAAGGTTGGTGGTTCGAGCCCACCCGGGAGCGAAATCTTTTTTATGTCTTTTTTGATTTCTTTTTAAGTTTGTTTTGACTTCAGAGTTGGTTTAGAGTATTTTTTCAACTTTTTCCGAAAATAAAAATTTTATTGAACTAAATTTCTGAATTTCTGAACTTCTGAATTTCTGAATTTCTAAATTTCTGAATTTCTGAATTTCTAAACTTCTGAATTTCTGAATTTCTCATTTTCTGAATTTCTGAATTTCTGAATTTCTGATTTTCTGAATTTCTGAATTTCTGAATTTCTGAATTTCTGAATTTCTGAATTTCTAAATTTCTGAATTTCTGAATTTCTGAATTTCTGAATTTCTGAACTTCTGAATTTCTGATTTTCTGATTTTCGGAACTTCTGAATTTCTGAATTTCTGAATTTCCGAATTTCTGAATTTCTGAATTTCTAAATTTCTGAATTTCTGAACTTCTGAATTTCTGAATTTCTCATTTTCTGAATTTCTCATTTTCTGAATTTCTGAATTTCTGAATTTCTGAATTTCTGAATTTCTGAATTTCTGAATTTCTGAATTTCTGAATTTCTTGTTTCCTGACTGATTGACAGTATGAGATATTGCGCTCTACTGAACAAAAAAGAGAACAACGAGAAAAAATGAAGAGACGCAGAGATAAATGCATGTGTCAGCAGTTTTTCTCACAGACAATGTAAATAAATCGAAATTCGCCCAGTTTTTTCGTTATCAATTTTTTATCACTATTTGTTCAAACCAATATCATTGATTTTAAATTTGTCGTCCATTTTTTTCTATTTTTAATAAAATTCTAAACAAAAATTTGCGAAACATTTTTTTCCAATTTTTCTTTTAAATTTCATAACTTTCCAAAATTAAAAAAATTGTATTTTTATCAAAAAAATTAATTTTTTGAAATTTCCGGATTTTTTTTTAGATTTTTGGATTCTTGAATTTTTGAATTTTTAAACTCATAAAGATTTCAGATTTATAATTTGCTTTTCTGAGGTTCTGAAATTTTGAAATTCTGGTTTTTTCAAAATTTTCTAGTTTTCAGAGTTCCGAAGTTCCAGAGTTTTGGATGATTGAATTTCTGAATTTCTAATTTTAATAATTTTCGATTTTTCGAATTTTTGAGTTTTTGAATTTCTGAAGATTCGAATTTCCAAAAAACTTTTTTTTTCCTGTTTCTAAATTTCTGGAACTCATGAATTCCCGAATTTCTTAATTTTCAAATTCTTGATTTTTTCTAAGGTGGGGGGACATGAGAAAAATAATGTTGTCGAAATTTCGTTCAAATATGCCCCTCGAGGAGTTGAACTTGTCGAGGCGAGTGTTGGAGGTGCGGCGCCGCTACCGACTGAGCCACGCGGGCAAAGAGAGAGCCGCTGCCCGATTGCATACATAAAGGCGAGGACGACAGCTGTACGCAGAGTGACATTTAGCGTTGTACACCGTGACGGTAGGAATGCATACTCTGGCCCCAAAAATCCCCCGTAAAATCTCCTGTCCCCCCCCTTTAAATTTCAGAATTTTCAAAATTTTCGAAACTTGAAAATTTAAGATTTTTCCAGATTTCGAATTTTCTGCATTTCTGAATTTTTAAAATGTGAAATTTTCAATCTTCCGAATTTTTGAATTTTCTCATTTCTTAATTTCATAATTTTTTTTTCTAAAAATGTGTTTCTTTCAGACCGAAGAAATGGATTCCAATAGAAATTCTCTAAAAAACATGCCCGAACTAGTCATGGAAAAGATATTATCCGATTTGGATTTTTTCGATTTGTAAGTTTTTTTTTCAATTTTTGACAAAATTCCAAAAAAAATTGCAGAATTTCCCTTCGAAAAGTTTGCCAATCTATTCGATTTTTCATCGATAATTTCCGAAAAATGAATCCAAAATTACAAAGCATTCGGATTACTGTAGAACCAAAATCAATAAAATCGACTTATCGATTTTTGGATAATTCGGAAAGATTGATAATTTATCAGACGCTTCCAAATAGATCAAGTTTGTTGAAGTGGGATCAAAAGAAAAGAATTTTGGCAAATTCGAATTATATGGATATTTTTTTGAAGGATTTCGAGATTTTCTGGAAGAATCAAAAGCTGAAAATGGAGAAATTCCAGCTGGATCTAGCTGGAAATCCCTTAAAAATCATCTATGGAATTCGAAAAATTTTGGCGGCAAATTATGAGAATAATTCAAATTTCGAACTTGGAAAATTCGAAATTGAAACATCGAATCCTTGTCAAATTCCCAAAATTTTATCGAAAATAAATCCGAAAACTCTGGAAATTTGGAATAAAAACGATGAAAAAGAATATTGGGATTTGGAAGAAATTTCAAAATTGAATCAATGGAAAAATGCCAAAAAATTGACGATTAATGGATTTTATGTGGACCCGGAGATTCGAATTTCGGAGAATTTCGAAAAAATCGACTTGATTTTTGAGGCGATTTCTTGGGAACAGGTTTTGGAATTTAAAAAGGTTAGTGATTTTTCTAAAGTTCAAAAATTCGAACATTTCAAATTTCAAATATTCAGAAACTCAGAAATTCAGAAAGATAAATCTTCCAAAACTCA